TGAAAATGTCTAATATGTGTATGTGTTATAACGCAGAAGATGAGTGCAATGTGGCGGCAACAGAAAGGCCTCACAGACAATTGTCAACGAGTTGGAATTTTTGATGAATTACCTTTTGTCGAGTCATCCTACTACAGATTGGCCTATTCAATCAATTGCTCAATTGCCCGTCGACAAATATTGTTCTTGCTTTATTTGCCATCTGCCACAAGGGGAGAGTGTGGGGCTCGTCAGGCCGACATCTGCCAGCATTTTCATCACGCCTCCAGCGCCTGTACCGACTGACGCCGACACGTTGGCCTAGAAATAAATACCCACGGGCAATTTTATAACCGCTAAATATCTCTACGCGAGCATGATTAGTTTTCAAAGGGGCACCCGCCTGTCTGTGCTTCTTTGAATTATACATACGTCACGGTCAAAATGTTCCGCAGCAAATGAGTGAAGGCCGACCGCCCTATTTTGTCCAATTGTCCGTGTATGGGAGATGAAAATGCCACTGCGTCAAAGACAAGCACATCGTTTACGTGTGCGAGCATTGCTAAAAATAGAGACCACTATCAATGTTTTAGTATACATGGTTTCATTCTTAGTCAGAGCGCAACCAAGGGTTAGATGTCACGAAAACACATACACAAAGACAAAGCGCTTTATCACGGCGCATTGTATGCGTTGTTATATTAGTGGGTGGAATCACCCAAACAAAGATGGTGAACGCTGTGGCGTTTAGGTGTTGAGCTGTTGGTGATGCTTGATCGGCGCATTGTGTCAGCCGACCTCCAACTGAGGGTGATATGAGGCAGGGCAGCTCTGTGGTTTTACTTGTTGTTTATTATGTTTTCTTTCTTTTTTGCGCGAAATATTGCGGCTCACAATAGCTAGGCATCGTCGTCCGATGAAGCTCTGTTTTATTGATTGGCATTTCATCGAATAGTGGACATTTCATCGAACACCGCTTCATTGAACGCCAACTCATCAAGTAGCTTGACAATGCTAGATCGAATTACGTTTCTGCTATCAAGTGATTGCAGATATTATAACTACACTCGTCATCGGTTGTAAATAACAGTAGCCTTTAGCGAAAATTATATATATTTATATATATATAAAGTAAAAAATGCGTACTGTTGGAGTAAAAAATGCGTACTGTCGGAGTTACTAATTCGAAGTTTACTACGACGTTTCGAGCGGGGACCGCTCTTCATCACCTAATGAAGAACGGTCCCCGCTCGAAACGTCGTAATAAACTTCGAATTAGTAACTCCGACAGTACGCATTTTTGACTTTATATTCATATACCGTAATATCCCGAGTCATCGCCCATCCCCGAGCCATCGCCCACCCCATTTTTTGGGCCAATATCGATTTCCGAAAAAACACCGAGTCATCGCCCACCCCTTCAAATACCCCAGCGCGGACTCTGGGATCCGCGAACACTCATCCTACCCGAATGACGCGGCCGCGGACCTTACAGTTGGAGGACGTCCGTGACAAAGTAAAACGAAGGAGGGAAAGACACTTCTTTTTGTTTACGCATTTCCTCCGTGAGCGACCCCAAAGTGGTCGTGTATCCGTGCGAAAAGAAAACGATGGAGATATCAAAATAAGAGTTTGTTAACGTAACCGCGGAGTGTTAGGTCAAAGTCTGTCTCCGCCGAAGTAAGGTCACCGCGAACCCGCTCCTTCTTCCCGCCCGTCGCGACCGCTGTTGTGCAATATTTTAGGCAAAGCCAAAGTGTAAATAAAGCTTTGCTGCAACGTCCTACACAGACGTTTGCAGAGCGTCCCAACCGTGCATTGATAGCCCGCCGTGCACGGACGCACGTATGTACGCACCAAACAAGAAAGTTGCGCAAGAGCTTGCAATTGACAAGGCGCCCGACTTGGCCCGACGCCAAAGTATTTGCCAACGCGACCGCCGGCTTTCCCGCTTTCCCAGCATTGCTCTTGGTCGCTTCTTTGGTCTGCTCGCTCGCTCGCTCGCTCGCTCGTTGCGCCTGGTCGGTTTTTCTATTTTCTTGTAGACTTTTCTTTCTTTTTTTTTACTAACTAGGAGAACATAATGGTGACATTCTTTCACGGAACAAACGTTCGTGCTATATGCAGATCGGCGGTGTTTCTAGCGCGTATGCAAGCAACGGACTTCGCTATAGTAAAATATTCTTTCGTGAGCATTTTTTTTCTATAAAACAATGAAACTAAATCGACTTTTGAGTTTGATGTATCTCTTTTGCATCAGCGCTAGATACGCAGAGAAAAATAGGCGTTTTTTTCCGCTTTTTTTCAAGTGTTTGTGCTCACCCACCGAGACATGGCCCACCCCACTTTTTTAATGAATTTCAGGCGGTTGGGGGGTGGGCGATGACTCTGGATATTACGGTATATATATATATATATATATATATATATATATATATATATATATATATATACCGGGCGTTGATTATTAATTCGAACAGATTTAACTAAAATTCGATAATTAACTTTTTAATTGATGAAAATAGACATATGGTTCCAATCAGAAACTTGTTCAGCGTCATCGAAAAGCACTAAATCAGTCATTTTCAGAAAGACTGAGCGCGTGAGAAGCGTAGTAGTGCGCTAAAGTTACCACTCGTGGAGCAGGTACAAGGCTAGCAGTTGCGGTAAGACGCCCGCGCGATTTTTCCGTCTCTTATCTAGCCCCAGCCTTGTAGCTGCTCCACGAGTCGTAACTTTAGTGCACTACTACGCTTCTCACGCGCTCAAAGTCTTTCTGAAAATGACTGATTTAGTGGTTTTCGGGGACGCTGTGCAAGTTTCTCTCCGCGTTAATTCTTACATAGTTCTTACTATGTTGCTTTTATAAGGTAATGGCATTATAGTCGGTGACAGGTCAAGAACGAAGTGCACGCTCCTCCCTCCTCTTTCCACTTTAGTAGTGCGAACGCTGGAGAGGAGGTGACCTCCTCTTCATCGTTGTCTCCGATGAAGTGGAAAGGGGTGGGAGGAGCTTCCACTTCGTTCTTGACCTGTCACCGACTATAGGTACTTTGAAATTATTTACATTAGCAATCGTGGCGCAGAAAGTTGCTTTGGTTCCATTCAGAATGACCGAAACAACACCATGAATATAGTCACCGGGAAACTATTTGCTGCACACAGCGTGACAAGCAATGCAAGAAGTAGCTTTCGTAAAAGGACCATGAGCCACAGTTGTTCCGACGTCTTTATTGTTGCTGTCGTTTCGGTTGCTGTGCATGCAAATGGCACAGTATGGGGAGCTTTATATATCAAGAAAATTTGACAGAGTCCGCAGTAGAGGCAGGCGGCTCGAGCCCTGCGATATCGCCACTCGGATAATTCCAGTAACATGTAACAACTATTTCAAGATGAGGTGTAAAAACTTCCAATTGAAAAGTAAAACTAACGAAACCCTTATATTTACTTCAGTTGGCTTCTTATTTCTCCGGTGATTGCGCAGCGAGACACAGCACTAGCTTGGCATCACTTTTCCTATAGCAGCGCTCTGGTCGCCATGTTTGAGGCTACGACAGAAGGTTGGCGCAGCATCCGACGCGTGGCGCGCAAATCTGAATAACGTCTATTGTAATGGCGCCTTGCTGGTGAGCTACAAATCTCTCATTGCAGTGTACTGTCTAAGACAAATATTAAAATAATGCCCCTACGTTCACTGTGGCTAGTAATGCTGTCCTGAATTAATCTTCTTTATTTCAAAGGCCTCCTTTTTAAAAATTATTTTGCCTGTAGAAAAAAAAATACATTACCACTTCAGCAAAAGATTGAGGATCCAGGGTGTCTATCAACCGGGAATTCTCAGGGATTTTGAATAGTCTGGAAAAACTCGGGGAATTTGTGCTTCCATCAGGGAAAATTAGCCTCTGGCCGGCGCTGTCGCTGATGGCGCCGCCTAAAGCACTTTGTACGGCTTGCAAGTGACCTCTTCGACCAATTCGATGGCCGCCGCGTGGGGCGAACGCGCGGTGGAAGGAAGAGCTGGAGGGGACAAGGAAAGAAAGAGCCGACACATTGAGGAATCAACAGGAAAGGAAACGTGCCGCCGCCGCTTTGAAGGAGCTTGAGCTAAAAAAACTGTCTTGGCTGATGCCGAGATGGAGGTGTCCCTCATTCAGACCAAAATAAACTCTTTAAAGCAGTGAAATACTGGGAAATTGTGCACTAGCTGAGAACATGGCAGCTAGTATGGTTTAACCTTTTTTTATATTTTATTCGCTGTGAATTGTACTAACCACTCCATTCTGTTTTCTTTTTGAATCTAATTTAAGTTACTGGTTATCATTCAAGCAATATTATGTCGTTTTTTTTTAAATTTTATAATGTACTTTTTAGAGAGTGACATTGTGACCTAAAAGAAAGTTCTGTGTCACTCAGGGAATTTAGCAAAAGGGCTCGGGGGAAACCTGAAAAACTCGGGGAATTTGAAAATGCCAACTGGGTAGACACCCTGGGATCATTCCTTTGGGAATTAGCCTGTCAGGCATGCTCTCGCTTACCAAAACATTCATTGTGTATGCCGCGATTAACATACGCCGGCACATTATGTTAGGGGAATTTTGGTTCTTTTTTTTCTTTGTTTTTTGTCACCCCTGGTGGATAGTTACAGCATAAACTACCAGGTTGAGCAAGGTTGCACAGATTCAAAAATCAGTTTGTCATTGGTCAGCCCCCTTGCTGCGTGGGAAGCGATTGCTCGCAATTAGCTGTCGTACGTCCGACGGCGCCCTGTGGTTTGCACCAAATAGCAGAAAAACGGGCGTGTCATGATCTGTGATCCCATTTTTAATAGGGAACTCGGACGCTTATCAATCTATTCTTGTTTTTGTTTTTAAGACTTAAGGGGCCGTAGACTGAGTTAAGCCCATAAATAGACAATCTAAGGACCCACTTTGTGCCCCTTTAACTTCTTGCGACATCTGTTAGTTGACAAGAATTGAGAAGAAAAATGTGGATTTTGGATTGAGGAGCCTTTTTTTTTGCAGGGTTCGAGATTCACAGGCGACCTGCTGAAAGACGGCAAGATCAAATGGCGTGAGACCCAGGAGATTTACTCTTCCCCAAGTTCATGGGCAGTCCACTGCAAGAAACTGCTGAACCCGGATAAGAAGTCTGGCTGCGGCTGGTCCACGGTATAGCATACATTTTTGCTCTGCTCCATCGTCCCTCTAACTTACAAACTTGTCCCATACAAAAAACAAGCAGATAAAAGGTATTTGTTTCTGTAAAAAGTTAAACTCAGGAAATGGTACATACCGGGTTCCTCGGACAAAAGTTTACAGTGTTTTTGTTCGCTACAAAAATAAACTATGCATCGCCGAACACTCATGCTACCACCCAAATGTAGTGCTAGTGGTCTGAACCACCAAAGTTTCGGAGATTGTTATTTGAATCGCAGGGTTCTCCCCAGAGTGGGTGGCAGTGGTTCTGTCGCCCACCAGTCTGGCTGACTGCCCATGTCCATCCCATCTCTGTATTTTGTCTCTGCTGGACAAAACGGGGCTGATTTTGAAAATGCATGATGCCTCAAACTGGCGTGTTTGGCAGACTTGTACAGTACTGCGAAACTAAACCGCATAAGCCCTGCAAACAAAATCGCTTCTGTGCGGCAGAGGAAGTGCCGAGAACACCGAAAGTTACAGCTCTTCCTCCCCCCAGCACCCTGGAAATTGTCAGATATTCAGATCTAAAGAATTCCTTGTGCCGCTTAAAGTTATAAGTAGGGTTCAGTGTTTTTGGTACCTGCCGATAAACCCAGAATATTAACCCCCATCCAGATTTTTTTTAGATCTGGGAAAACCAAAAAGCCCAGAATTTGAGCTGCTCTTGAACATAAAAACCATAACTTCACGGGAAGAAATTCTTAATTTGCAGCTTTATTCTGTGTTTACCCGGGGCACAAGCTCCAGCATACTGTCCGGCAGGCTGCTTCTTTGGTGGGAACCACACCCCTTATCTTATCTTCTTTTATTATCGGTACCAGGTCGTTTTCCAAGTATTCGGGTATGCGCATGTTGCCTGGAGGTTGAGGGATGCCATGCTCATGTCCCAATATCTTCAACAGCAGCCTCAATAAACACCCAAATTTTGGTCCGCCACCAAAAGCTGACACCGAAAAACACAAAATTTGTGGGAAGAAATTAAATCCCGAAAAGACAGCCTTGAATACGAAGAAAAAATAAACCCTGAAAACGCGAAACCCTAATTTATAAGCCATTTTCAGAAATTTTCAATCGGTGCAATGGGACATATTCCCAGTAGGTGACTCCATTCATCTCCATGTATACAGGGGCTTCATTGGCTGCCATTTCCTCATTGAAAGTTTCGAAAAATCGCTGATAACTTTTCAGTAAGATAATGACAGGCTCTGAAATTTTGGTATCTGATCTGGACTGCTAGCGATACTTTTTGGCAGAGAGCGCTCTGTGAGGCATAGTTTATTTTGGTGAAAAACATGCTGAACCTTTTTCCCAGATACCCAGTGCATAAAGAAAGGAACAGAGGGTGATAAGATTTCCTCGCCTTGTCCCTCGTGTTCCTTGACATGATGTAGCTTTTACCAGCATGTTCTTCTGCCACAATTTTGAAGATGAAACTTTGTTTAGTTGTTCAAATAAAAGTCATGTTTTGCCCTCACGCATTTATTCTTGCTGAAGTGATCAGGGACCCTCAAAAGTATCTTGAGGATGTAACTGAACATTGAACTGTTTTGAGGACACTGAACATGTGTTTACGCTTCCTTTTGTTGTGGGATGATTCAAGGAGTTAGTGTAGTTTTACAGACATTTTTAGAACAAGTGTTTTCTCAAAAACAGTGAAACTGGTAGTTTAGGGTTTTTGTCATCTTTATTGCAATATTGATTAAAATCTTATTAATGCAGAAGTGATTGTTATGGAAAGGTTATTAGCAGCAGACAGTGGTTCATGTACTGTGAGACTGCTTTGTGGCCAGAACACCTTTCAATTTCCCATTTGCTTTGCAGTGTTACACTCGGTGTTCCTTTCTTTTCATCATAGATTGTGGACAATATGCTTAGTATTAGCACTCTGTGCTGTCACGGCCACTGCATTGCCACTGGTTGCTTAGTAGCCCAAAATTATTAGGGGCGAAGCTCCTTAGGGTCTAGCCTTGTCTGGCGTCCGTGCTCACATCGATTGCCATCCCATCTGTCTTCTTAAAAAATGAAAAAATGTGTGCACAGTCGACAGGATTCGAACCTGTGCGGGGAGACCCCAATGGATTTCTAGTCCATCGCCTTAACCACTCGGCCACGACTGCAGGACGAGTAGGGGGCTCTGAGATGTGGTAATAACTCAAGAGCTGGGGATGTCATGGATGAAACGTTGCACGTAGCCGCTCAACGTCTGTATAGGAGAGGGCGCTACGGTTAAATCCATATATAATCGCGTTAAACTTTGCATGCATTGGCTCAACGTTTATAGACGAGAGGGGCTGCGGTCAAATGCTCAAATGTGTATATAACCACGTTCCATACCACACATTCTCTTTCTGACATGGACCGTTGACTTAAGCGGTGGAGATGCGTTCCCACGACTTCTAGCGGATCCAAGCTGATCCGCTAGAAGAACCACTGGCTCTGCATTTCACCGACCATAAGGCAGTAAACCATAAACCTGGAACTCAGCACTACCTATGAGCAATAAAAAAAAATACAGCACCATCAGCACTACCTATGAACAATAAAATCAGTATCATCTGCACCACCAGAACTTCGCCCCAACCAACATCATTCACCACGTGGAGATGCGGTCATTTTTTTTTATTTGTTGAGTTGTAGCCGGGAACGCATTGAAGCAGCTCTCTAAGACATAGATAGCTTAGTCACTATTTGCAACTCCAGCCCGCCGATCGCCCTCTCACAGACAAACAAAAAACCAGAGGAGCGGGGACGGTGGCAGGGACAGCCTGCCCTGGTGCTGCTGTTCTGCATGTACGTGCATCATGCAGATTTTACAGAAAAAGCAAGTGCGTTAAAAGAGAAATTGTTGTGGTCCGTTTCGCAACAGCGGTGCACAAAGGGACTGGGGATATTTCATTCCATTGGGAGCTTTTCGTTGACGGTATACGCTGCGGATTTCGGGTCCTGCGGTCGTCAGCACAATCTGTGCTCAACATGACGGCAAAAAGCTCCCGCTAGTAGTGCAAAGCTCTCGCATACAATCTATGAAAAGTTTATCCTTTCGATAAAGTAAGAGAGATCTGCTCACGCAAAGGTGTATAGAGTGATAGGCATTGGGAATGGTTTCGCAGTTTATGCGCCGAAGGGCCGTGACAAGAAACATCACAGTTTGCTTCGAGCATTTCCAAAATACAGACTATGCGTGCTTGCTTTGAGTTAATTACAAAAACAAGTAAAAAAATGCCTGTAGCATTTTTAAGGGGGATATGGCCTCAGAATTCAGATGTTTCAGAAAAAACTTCTTTTTTTTTTTTTCAAAAATGAAATGTTAATGTTTATTAACTGCCCAAGAATGGTTTCAGAAACTGTCATTTATAAACATGCAGGATTTATCTCGCAATAAATTATTTTTCACATGTCGGCAGACCTACAGGTCAGCAGGGAGCAAGTTTTTTGTGTTCTTTATTTAGCACTGATTCATACTCCTTTAACATAGCCAAAACATCTCACCCTCATTGGAAGCGCCATTTACTCTAGATTTAGTCCGTAGAAGCTTTCCAAGATTAAAAGTAGCAATAGCCAGGAGAGCCCATACATCCAAGCAAGAAAAATACTGAAAATTTGGTATGATCAATCTTATTAGTCTAGACCCGAAACAGGGTTTACGATTAGTCTTGTCTGGTGATGTGATATTGTGTCATCTTCAGTAACACCCTTTCACGGTATCCTCCACGTCAGATTATATTCCTGCTCTGCTGCTCTTCCTTAGTATGATTTGCCTCTTAGTTCTTAACAGTGTATCTGTCAAGGAATGCCTGCTACAAAATTTATCTTGCCTACATATGACACAAACTGGTAGCTATTGCCAGGGGAACAACGAAGTCTCAAAGAGGAAAGTGCGAGCAATGCTCCAGGTGAATTTTGCCTACCTCGGACTCTTAGAAAAGAAAAAAACCTAAAGTCGAAATGCCCAGTGCTTTTTTTTTTCAGTTTCACTTTTTGGCAGGAAATGTATCATTTGACATTTTGAAAGTATAAAGATTTCATTCAGTGGTGTCCTGGACTGAAATTTCCCGAGGAACAAGTTAAGCGTCGTTCTCACATATGTGACCGAGTAAGACCGAGAGAGACCAGTTTGGTTTTTAAGCCTCTTGCGACGTCCTAGGACCGGATGCGCTGCTGCGGAGCTGGTCCTAAGACATCTCAAGAGGCTTAAAAACCGGTCTGGTCTCTCTCGGTCTTACTCGGTCGCAATAGTGTGAACGGGCCTTTAAGGTACTCATAATCTGAAAAAGCTAAATTCTTCATGACAAACACTGAATATTTTAAAACATAAAATTTTGTTAAAATCTTTTGCTCTTTTTGGTTGTTATTGTTTTTCTTTAGAATTGCATTTTCTACAATTAATTTTTACCTTAAAAGATTTACCTTTTACCTGTGCACCAATTTCAGGGCTTTGCTTAAATAATTGTGGAAGTTGATGCCTGACACTTCTGCAGTGAACTACAGAAAACAGATTTTGCCTGGATACCCTAGTTTTTATTTTAAAAAATGAAAAAGATCCGGGTTTTTGCCACCTCTCAACTCGCACATCGTCTTAAGGGTCACGTGCGCAGTGACGTCACTTGAGTAGGCGCGGGGTTCCGGAAAAGTTCTCTCTTTAAAGCCATCAGCGAGCAGCGAGAACTCATCCGCTCGCGACCGCGTGACCACGTGCTGGCAAGCGCCCCGCGAAATATACGGTGAATGGAGGAAAGTCTCATCCGGGTCCGGCCATACCCGTCCTTGCCCGTCCGGCGCTGTCCCCCTCCCCTTCCGGCTTCTGGCGGCTATTCGCGGTTTTGTGGACCTAGGATAAATGGCGCCACTAAAACTCCGTATAATAAAAGTTTTTTTCGATGATACCAGGGTTTTGACGCATTTATATATATATATGTTGGAATGACAAGATTTATAGAAAAGTTACCTTTTAATGAGCAGGTATTCGCACA